TTAAATTTTTACATGGTGCTGAGGATCGAACCTAGCACCCTGTACATGCCAGGCTAGAGCGTCACCCCTTCAGCCACATCCCCAGCCCAAGACATTGCCTTTATGATTACTGATTTATTTAAAACAGTTTATAGATAAATGAGTAATTTCAAAGCAATGAAATTATAAGGCTTCTTTTAAATCATTTTTTAAACAAGATAGGTATATACAAAAATTGGATAAATTCAAGATATAAATTTAAAAGGTAGCACTTTTTTGTTTTTTGTTTTTTGTTTTGGTACTGGGGATTGTTGAATTCAGGGCACTCAACCACTGAGTCACATCCCCAGCCCTATTTTGTATTTTATTTAGACATAGGTTCTCACTGAGTTGCTGTTGCTGAGGCTGACTTTGAACTCTCAATCCTCTTGCCTCAGTTTCACCAACCACTGGGATTACAGGCATGTGCCACTGTACTTGGCAAGGTAGTGCTGTTCTTAAAAAAAAAAACAAAAAACAAAAAACCTTAGGGTGATGGAACTTGAACAGATAGTTATTAAGTTATGTTTAATTGTTTGGAATGTTATCCATTATTTATTAAGAAATAATTTTTCTACTATCATTTTTAAATATCAGTATTTTTAAAATTCTGTGTATCCAAAAACTCTATCATTATTTTTTAAATGGTTCTGAATCTTACTATAAAGATGTTCTTATATCCCCTTGAATCATCAACAATCATGATATAGGAGATTTGAATAATCTAATCTGTAATAGGTGAGATAATGTACCAAATAATAGCATATCAATAAACTTTAAATGAATACCTACATTATTAGTCCATAGAAGGAGAAACTTAGGTCATAATTCTTTTTTAAAATATATTTTTAGTTATACATGGACACAACATCTTTATTTTGTTTATTCATTTTTATGTGGTGCTGAGGATCCAACCCAGTGCCTCACACATGGGAGGCAAGCTCTCTAGCCCTGAGCCACAACCCCAGCCCAAGGTCATAATTCTTTACTACTTTTCTAGTGCTCCCCCTTTGGTCATTGTGCAAATAGCAATCAATACATGAAAAGAAATCATGTCTTAGTCATTAGGTTTTCAAGTTAGAGCACTTCTGTTTGGGGTAATATTTTTAAACAGACATTCTCACACATAGATGTTGTATATATAAAATAAACCTTCTTTTAAATACAACTATCCTGAATAGTGCAGTACTAGAAATCAACAAGGGAAATCAACACAGGAAAGAGTACTTTAACAGTGATGAAACCAGAAACTTGAAAATGTGAGGAAGAATAGCAAATAGCAGAGAGAGCAATGTAGAGCTGGATTAAAGGAAGAAATAAAGAATTTCTTATAACAATGAGCCAGAAGTTCATAGTTCTTCCATAATATGAACACTGAGTACAACAATTTCTAATTTAATAGTAATTTATTTTCCTGAATTCTAATTATTTATATCATTTCAAACCATAATTAAACATAATGATTCCTGAGAATAATTATGAGAGGAACATCACATACCAACTTTACTTTTAAAATAAGAAATGGATATTATAAATAAAATATTTGCCAAATAAATCACATACTATCTAAAATGATAATGCATTTTTGTTGAGTAGATTTTATCTTAAAAATACAAATTTGATTTAACCCTAAGCAATCAATTAATATATTCATTATATTGAAGAAAAGGATCATATGACTGTCTTAATAAATACATCAGAATTTCTTACAAAATCCAATACCTGTTCAAAGTAATCCAAACAGTACATAAATAAAATAATAAAATCTCTAAATTATGAGAAAGATGTGATAAAAGTTTTGTTATTTTCTTATAAAATATTTTTAGATAGAAAACAAAAAAGGAGAAATATTATAATTAGTAAGAGAGTTAATCAGGATTCCTTTGTAGTACAATGCAATAGTATTCTATAGCAGCAAAAAATAAGCAGATTTTAAAATTTTTAAATCACATTATGTTAATATTCACCAGATATTTAAAGATTGTCTTAGTCTGCTTTATAACAACCTGAACAGATGTTAGGCAGCTTATAAATAAGAGAAATCTACTACTCACCTTTCCAGACCTGGAAGTCTAAGACCAAGGTGCTAGACGTGTCTGGGGAAGTCCTGCTTCCTCACAGATGTTGCTTTCCAGCTAAGTTTCTGTACTCTGTGGAAAGAGTAAGAAACCTCTTTCAGATTTCTTTTATAGTAATACTAATTTTATTTCAAGTCTCTGCCCTCATGATGTAATTATCTCCCAAAGACCCCCCACCTTTTAACACCATCACTTTGAGATTTAGGATTGCTACATATGAATTTTGGCAATATGCAAACATTCAGATCAAATATTAAGGATTTAATGATATTTTATATAAGGATGATATATCTTCCCAAATTGATTCTTAGTCTCAATGTAATTATAATCACAATCTGGACATTGAAATGAAAAACTCAATCCAATTAATATGAAAAAGAAAAAAAAATAATTAAGATGTTCTTGGAGAAGAACAAGTGGGGCATCTTGCCATTTTGAATATGAAGACATATTATAAAGTAATAATAATAAAATAGCTCATCATTATGAAGATGGATCAAAAAGACTAATGTAATTGTTTTGGGAGCTCAGACAGACCCATACTCCTATAGAAGCTCACATATGACGCACTTGGTACTGTGTATTAGTGGGGATTATTTGAAAAGGGTCTCCAGGGCTGTTCTTCATGTGGGAAAGATGAGATTGGCGTCCCACCTCACAGTATTCCCTCTGGCCCTATCCCTGCTTGTTTCCTCCTCTTTCTCCAGGTAGACCCTGTGATGAGAAAGACAATTCTTTAAAACTCTTAGAAAAAAATTAGAATAACTTTTTGATCTCAAGTTTCAGAAACATTTTGAAAGCATATCAGAAAACGTGTGAATCATGTTATATTAAAAATTATGTACACTAAAATTATAAACATTTGTTCATCATAAGATAACATTGAAAATGAAGAGAGAAACCAGAAACCTGGAGAAGATTAATGCCATGCATATATCCTGAAAAGGACTATCTGGAACTTACAAAAACTTCCATAAATATGGGTAAAAGATGAGAACAGTTATTACAGTGAACAGGACACTTGGATAAATAAATAATTCATGAAAATATTCTCATCAGTAATCATGGAAATGCAAATTAAAACCACAATAGGATAAAATTTTGCCTCCATTGGACTGCAGTAATTAAATACACTGACTGTGGGGCATCCTAAATAAGCTGGTGGTATAAAATGCTTTGGGAAACTAATTAGCAGATCCTGCAAACAAGTGATTGTACTTCTGAGTTAAACACATAATGAAATACAATTTCACACCCTCCATATTAGCCAAAGTATAAAATAAATACTGTTAAAAAAAAAGACAACACCAAGTGTTAGATGAAATGAAGGAGTAAGTGCTCTCATGAAATCCTGGGGGAGAGTAATCAAAACCCTTTTAAAAGCATTTTGGCATTGCTTACTATATATATGTAAAAGAATACTATTAATGCATCTTCTAAATGACCTTTTCATCAAAGTGAGTACAGTTTTAACTCAGCTTACCTGCCTTTTCCCCAAAGTGCCTACAGAATGCAATAACAGTAAAGGAAGGGAGTGGTGGTGGGGAGAGGTGGAGAGCAGATAAAGCAACAACCTAACTTGGTAGAAGGCAGGTTTATGGGAAACAAAAAAAAAGAAATTCTTCTAGTTTCATAAAATATATTATTGTTAACCGATTCAACTGGATAATTATAAGGAAAAGATAGAAAGGATTACTATAGGTGGCCTCAAAAAGATGCAAAACAACTAGAAAACTGCTTATTATGGCACATTTATACATTGGCATGCTTCCAAACCATGTCAGCGGGCCCATCTTTTATCTCAAGTAATACTTTCCTGTACTCTTGTGTCCAACTCTCATTCTTTTACCATATGTGCATGTTTTCAGTTTCCTAAATAAATAGGGTTCTGAAAGAAATAAGTATGTGTGAGAAAAACAATCTGATTGGCATAACGATAATATCAACTTAAATTTAAGTAAGCCATACAATGATGATAGCCATACATTTCTCATAAGAAGTACGTTTTTGTTCAAAAAAGAAGCAAGCTCCTTTTCAGTTGCCTTTCATTTTAGCCACACATATAAACACACAAACTTTATCTGATTTTAATACTTTTCATTAAGTTCCCAAGTTTGATTGTCTTCTACATAGTATAATGCATTTATTTAACAGATTTTGTCTAGATACTAAGGTGTCACAAGCAAAATAGGAATAAGCATAGGGAAAATAGATGAGCTATAGAAAACAGCAAAAACATTAATTATATATTGGTATGGCACTGTGTTTTGGTCTTACCATTGTATACAGATTTTATCAAACACTATTTTGCTGCAGGCATTAGTTTTAAATTTCACCTCTGTGGTTACCCGCTGTTACTTAGCCACCAGTGCTAAGTTTCCTTATTTCTGTAATGGGAATAGTAATAGGTCCAGCTTTCTAAAGTCACTGTGAGAATATCACATAATTCGGCAGGTAAATAGTGTCTAATGTGCTCTCTATTATTTTAAAAAGAGATAGCTATATGATAATCAGTAGTTTTATGTGGAGTCACATTAACCAGAATACAGGACTATCTCAGCATGATAACTAGTTTTGGAACTGAGTTTTAAATGGATTGTGCTGATGTTGGTAGAAGGGTCAGAACGATTATGAGAAAGAGTTGGCATTGATCACTCTTCTCTGTAGTCATAAGTGCTCTATTAGTTCTTAAGAAATTAATTCATCCTGCTTTATTTAATATAATGGCTGTGCAGGTCTCTCACCTCAGCCGCACTGTGAATTTCCTATGGTAGGATCTATTTTCATTCTCTTTCGACATCCCACAACACCCATCAATAATTATTTACATAGTGAACAGTCATATATTAAAAGAATAAAGATTTTTTTTTCATTTTTAAAGCACACTTTCAAAATGTCTTTCAGAAATTTGGTAGAACTCTATAAAAATGAAGATGACATGGAAATTTCAAAGAGGATTAAGACTCACTGGACTTCTTTGGGCCTAGAAGATGTACAGTTGGCAAATTATTCTGTGCTGCTGAACCTGCCAGGTCCATCTCCCAGCACTGTGACTGTGAGCAGCAGTGGCCAATGCTTTCATCCTGATGGCCAGCCTTGTAGTGAAGAAGCCAGAAAAGATAGCAGCCAAGATCCGCTGTACTCCTATGCAGCCTATTCTGCCAAAGGAACTCTCGAGGTAATATGACCATTTGTCTCTGTCATTTACAGTGAAATGGAATTAGAAAACAACAGCTTTCATCTAAATTGAACTAACTGGCAAGATGCAACATTCAAAAGGAACCAGTAAATGTTCTCAGTGTGGAGGTGCCAGGAAAGGGAAGGAAGATAGGGATTGTCTGAGCCTTTTCCTATCACATTTTGAAAGTGAAAACGTGTTCGAGGGATTTAATTCAAAGGTGTTGAATGCGTGGCCGAATCATTCACGTTTTGCTCATGTCCATAGAGTGCAAAGTCTATTTTGTTTATGGTTTTCAAGAGGCAAATTTTAATGCATTGATATGGAGAGAAAGAATGGTAATAGAGGGGACTGTGTTTTGAGGCTGTGTGTGCACACAAGAAATGAAGTGGAAAATTGATGTGATTACTCACACGTTTAAGTTGTGAAATACAGAGCATCTGCTTGCATGATGGAAAACACATGTGATAGGGAACCAGGTGTGGATAGTTTCTTTACCTTTTCTGGGTTAGCTGGATTTTGGCATGATGGGTTCTTTGGGTATGGCAGTTAAGTTAAAGACTTTTAGAGCTGCAGGCATTAGTTTTAAATTTCACCTCTGTGGTTACCCGCTGTACTTAGCCACCATTGCTAAGTTTTCTTATTTCTGTAATGGGAATAATAACAGGTCCAGCTTTCTAAAGTCACTGTGAGAATTAAATTAACTAATATATGCGAGGTTGATGCAATGCTGTATACTTGATTACTTGTTTCTTTCATATAGGCAAGTTTGGTGTCCCAATGTAAAAGTGAAATTTTAACATTTTAATTTTTTTAAACAAAACTATGGATGGTCTCATTTAATACAAATGAAATAATGTCATTTGTAAATAGTGTTTATGGTATAAAGTTTTGAGAATCTTATTGTTAACTATGACTAACATGGGATATTTAAGTTGTTTAATGTTACTCTACAGAAATACTCAAAATAATGTAAAAATGAATGCTGGGTTTTTTTTKGGGGGGTGCTCCCCCCAAATCAGGGGCACTTGACCAATAAACCACATCCCCAGGTCTATTTTGTATTTTATTTAGAGACAGGGTCTTATTGAGTTGCTTAGTGCCTCACTTTTGCTGAGGCTGGTTTTGAACTTGAGATTCTTTCTCTTGCCTCACCTCCTGATCCACTGGAATTGCAGGTATGCACCACCACACCAGGCCTGAATTCTAGTTTCTATTAAATCTTTTTCCTTTTTTGGGATCCAGGGCTTAGGATACAGGTGCTTCAGCATATTTCTTTGCTACATTGTGTCACACTCTTGGCGGAATTGCACATAACCCATACAATCTTGAAATGTTTTACCATTAATTAGAATTTAATTTAATGATAAATATCTACAGTATTTCTGGTAAAGGACTCATGTAATTTGGATTAATGTACACTCTTTCTGGTGTAATAATGGAAGCTAAATACACCTGTAATGAAGATAGAAGAAGGCAGCCAGCTAGCTACTTTTCTTTGGTCAAAATCTTTGGACTTAAGCCAGATTTTAAAAATAACCTGTTTTAGTCAGCTTTTTCACCACTATGTCCAAGGACCTGACAAGAACAATGTAGAGAATGAGAAGTTTATTTGGGGCTCATGATTTCAGAGGTCTCAGTCCATAGATAGCTGACTCCATTGCTCTGAGCCTGAGGTGAGGCAGAACATCAAAACATGAAAATCGGGAATCAGAGAGATTGCTTTGCTCATCAGAGTCAAAATATATACTGTAAAAGGCACACCCTCCAGTGCCCCACCTCTTTCAGCCACACCCTACCGGCCAGCAATGAGTACCAAGTTAATACATTTAAGCAGATTAATGCATTGACTAGGTTAAGGCTCTCATAATCCAATTATTTCACCTGTAAACTTTTTTGCATTGTGTCACACATGAAGCTTTTGGAGGACACTTCATTTCTAAACCATAGTATAACTCCAGACACTTACTCTAGATTCCTAGAGTAAATAAGTCCCACATACTTCCAGCCTTCTCTTTATTCCAACTGTCTCAAGTCCAATAACATTTTTTTTCTCACAAACAAAAGAATGTCTGAAACAGAACAATCACAGAGACACCAGGAGTTTCAGGAAATTCTTGGAATCACCCCCTTTTTACTTACCTTTCGTTTTTATCTGATAAATACTAATCATTCTTTGAAGAGATAAAATGAAAAAACCATGAAACTACAGCTAACGTCCCTGTTTCCTTAGCATGTAATAATCTTCTTGCCCATTAGATATAAAATAAGATTGAATAAATTTCATAGAAAAGAGTCCATCACTCTGACAGTTTTCTAAATATTTATGTTAGTTATAAATGTTCTATTTTTTCCCTTTGTTTCATAAAAAGGAAAACGTAGAGCTACTGCTTATTCATGGAATTATACAAATGTTTTTGAAGAAATAAACCCTTTTTGGCATCTGTTGAACCATTTACAAATTATTAAAACTACCCTTTTGAATGAGGAAGAGGTAAAAGAGAATTTTTATAAGGCAGCTCCTAAAAGGCAGAGTTAAAGTTAAGTGTAGATGTAGAAATGCACTCCATATATGAAATATTAGGACTAAACAAAAGGGAAACTAAAACTCAAAACTAATTATAATGCAGTGATGTATAAAACAAATACCTTGTACTCAAAAAAATAATTTGAGAAATCATGCAAATTAGGTGAAGATAGTGACATTAACTATCTTAATTAGCACTTTAATAATGCAAATCTATCACACTAAGTACATATTAATTTAAGTATCTATATCAAAAAGCATATACATTATTAATACTGATTCTTAAAACTCAAACTATATTAGTGTGACTTTCAAAAACAAAGTGATTTCTAGGTGACTATTATAAATGCATATGGATCACTGGCAGCACATACCTCCTTTTTGATTGTGAGAAATTTCGATTGCAAGATTTTCTCAGGCTGAGCCTTTACCAAGTTCTTAAACTGTGCTATTTTGTCTGCCAGCAAATCTTACCACAACTTTTGCTTTTGACAAGGTTGTTTGTAGAAGAGAAGTGCCCCTTTACTTTGAAGACATGTCATGTCCATTCATCATATGACCATTTTGTATAAGCTTCCAATTTGTGCTTTCTGGTAACAGCATTTGTGATATCTGAGATCTACTTCAAAAAACCTACTTAGTGCCAGTGTGATGGATGGTGTGCTTTGCAACTTCTTTGTAATTCATTGAGCACTAGAAAGGTGACATTGTTTACCCCGTCATAATGACAGGTGGGTCAGAAAGAGAGTCCTAAGGAGAGTTGTCCTGTCAGATGCAAAATACATATTAAAATGGGTACATAAATAATTTAGATGAGTGAGGTTAGCCTCAGGGAATTAAAGTGATTTATATTTTTATTAAAAGGCAAATAAATATCAACTATAGGATCATCTAAGGTTATAGACATCGGTAGTGATCTCTGTCAATATCTTTCAATTTTGTAAACAGTACATATAACTTTTATGTAACTTCTGCACAATTTGTTCTTTTGTCCTTTGTGAATCCAAGGCAGAGGCAGAAAAAAACAAAGTATATTTAACATACGTTTGTTACATGGGTGAGATTGGTTGGTTAAATGGGTTCTGATGTATTCTATGTTTTGAGCAAGGAATTTCTTACTCCTGTACTTTTTATGGATGTTATATGTTTTCCTTCTTTAAAACTTTTTTGATTGATAGGWTGATGATGATGATGATGATGATGATGATGATGATGATGATTATTATTTTGCCTGAAACACAAAGCCAAATACTTCAATTATTTTTGCCAACTCCTTCAGGAGACTTCCTTATCAGCTGTACAAATGTCATTTGTCATTTCAGTTCTCTAAAACTTTGTGTCCTCATCTGTAGAAAGGGAATGATAATAGTCACTTAGATGGTTGTCATGGGGAAGAAATAATAAAAACATGTTAAGTGCCTGGCACTTACAAAGCACTCAATAAATGTTAGCTATTGTTATTGCCTGGCAGAAAGTAGAAACATTTAAATGGAAGAAATTAAGAAAAGATCAGAACTAAATATCAAGATTTGGAAGTACAGACTTCTGTCATATTCATCATGTATCTTAATTTTCCTATCTTCTTTTTATGTGAAAAATATTAATTGTTAGGGAATAAAAACGCTTTGACAAGTATAAATAAATAATAGACTATACATAATACCCTGATCATATTTTCTAATTAAACTGAAGGCTTAAACAAATTAGGAATGAAATATTTTTTTTTCTTGAATGTGGAATGATAAATCATGTCAAGTTGGGCTTGAAGAGCATTGCTTGTCTTAATGTTTAAAATATCAAGACATTGTAGTCTGACATATGACATCTGAACACTATATCATATGTTTTGTCAGAAAGTTTTAGAAAAAAGTATCACCACTACAAGGATTCCCCGAATAACTTATAATCAGATGCTTATTTTCTCATGGTGAGGAAAATTTTGTCTTTTTAATTTTTTGATATTTTCAAACCAAACCACACTTATAAGTGATATAGCAAAAAGAAGAGCTGTATACATTTGGCTCTGAAAGATTCTTGTTTCAGATAAAAAAAAATATTAGAAAGCTAGGGGAGTAGAACAGAATTATATTTTTTTGTATTTTGGGGTTTGAAGAGGAAGGTACAATCTCACTGACAGAAATATGAGCTTGGAACAGTTTTTCAATGTTGAAAATAATTTAGTATTGTATTTGTCTCTCTTCTCTAGTGCTATCCACCCTTTGACAGTGATACACAAATGTGAAATAAATGACTGTGAACATATATGCTACTAATATTTTAGAACTGTGCCTACGTTCCTGGACTCAATATGACCTTTTGTCTGTGGTCTCAACAGTTCTGTTCACAAACCAGTTGAGTTAAGAAGAATAATTCCATATTGCTACCTTTCTTATTTGATTAGTTTCAATGTATTTAAAGTAGATTTCCCCCTATATTTAAAATTTAATCTGAAGCATTTATGGAGGAGGAGGAG